CACCCTAACAGAGACATACTGTCCCTGCGCTCTTAAAATCACACTTAAAAGCCTCCCATTTGCCAGTTGTTCCTTTTCCTTAAGAGGAGACTCACCCAATTGACCTCTGCTAGATCCTGCCTAATGGCCCCAAAATTGGCCCTGCTCCAGTTTAGCACCCTAACTTGTGGATCTGTCCTTTTTTTTCCCCCTATAACTATGTTAAAACTAAGAGTTATAGTCACTGGACCCAAAGTGCTCTCCGACTGACCGAAGTGTTATGAAGTCTCCTCGTTTACTTGTACTTCTGTCATGCCTGTAGCTTCTGCATCCTGGAACATTGAACTGCCAGTCCTGTCCTTCTCAGCCATGTTTCTGTTATGGCTATAATATCTGACCCCAGAGCCAAACCATGCTCTGAGCTCATCTGCCTTCCTCATCGTGCATTGAAATAAGTGCTACTTAAACCAGAAGTCTTTTCTCTTCCTTTACTGTGCACCTATCTATCCTGAATAGTAAACTTGCTCTCGATGGCTAATGTATTTTCCCCTGACTTCTGGATGGCCCCTCTCTTATTCAGAGTCCCATCCCTAATGCCTTTCTCCCAAACATGCTCACATTAATCCAGGAGCAGGCTTCTGTGTTTAATCAATGACAGGATATGGGTGCTGCTGGCTAGGCCAGTATTTGTCCCCATTTCTAATTGGCCTGGGAAAGACAACAGCAGATGCTGCTTTGACTGCTCCAGTCCATGGGGTGTAGGGAGACCCACAGTGTTGTTAGGGAGGGAGTTCCTCAATTTTGACATATTACACTGCAGGAACGGTGATATATTTTTCAAATCGAGGCAGAATTGGAGGGGTTTTTAACCAAAGGTGTGCTGCATCGCTGGAGATGACACTTCTAAAGAAGAATTTTAAATATTCAGTCTAATTACAGATAGAGGTTCCCAAATTGTGCATTGAGAGTTGCCAATACATTGCACAAAGCTTGCAAAACGCGTAACAAAACGTCTCAGCGATGAGATCCCACAATTGGACAGTACTTGCTGAACAATCCTATTTGCACTCATAACTACACAATCAACAAATTGAAAATCAGTTGAGTTCATAATGTGGCTCACTTACACATGCTCGAAGTGACACTTTTGTACACAAGCAGCTTGGAAGCCTATCGCTCCCTGGTGCTTTCTCCATGTTGACACTTTTGCCAATCAGGGTTGATATGTCAATAACCAGCACCCTCTTCTGAAGTATAAATTGTTGAGATTGTTTGAAAATTTGGCAAAAGCATCTTTATCCTGACAAGTGCAAGAGGAAAATCTTTGGCAACATGTCTGCCCATTCATCAATATACAAAAGTATTTCTCCCTCAGTTCCTCCATCACTTGGGACCATTTCTACAAATTCTGCGATTGTTCTATCGCAACTGCAAGATGCACTCTCTACCCAGGCAGTTGCAGTACCTGTGGTGTCATTACTAGAATGGCCACAGGTAGCTGCCTGCATCAAAAAATCAGGATCATCCATAGCATTCAGCAACTTAAACAACTATAGAACCACTAAAATGCCTTCTTTCTCAAATGTTTCTGCAATTTCTACAAGCCAAGTGAGGCAGTGTGGCAATAAGTTATGCCTTGGAATGGGTGTGGCTGCATCAGTGAACTGAGCACTGGAGTAAGTCAGGAAGCTAAGTGCAACAACCGAGTGGCAAGTGCAATATTGCACACACCTGTGAGCAGAGTGGACATTGAGTTCCTGTTCCAGGCACACAATATCAGAACCACCAATTTTCTGTACCAGTGCATGACAAGGATGCGACATTCTAAAAATACCTTGTGATAGTTATTGGAAGTGAGCAAAAGAAACAGAGAAGCAAAGATAACAAGGTGTAGAGCTAGATGAACACAGCAGGCCAGCTGTACACCTGGTTATCTCAGATTCTCCAGCATCTGCAGTTCCTACTATCAGAGAAGCAAAGATACCATTTCGCCAGTCTCAATGGTACTAATGATTGCATATTATGAAGACTGGATATTTAAGTGTTTATATCTATTACGATAAACATAAACTGCTGAAATGCCAACAACTCCGTGGAGGGGAATAAAGCTACTGCAGGACCTAATGCTGCTCAAAATTCCCACTGATGGTGACAAGGCTACTTTAATCATTAAAGTTCAGTAACATTTGCTGTTGAGAAGTTAAGACATACTGGTTAAATTATTAATGGCCAAAACAATTTCTATGCATGAAATAGTGCTAATGTGAAGCAGTGCTTGGGGGATCCAATCAGCAAGTCACCTGCCCAGTACTTGGCCCTGTCCAGATCTGATGCCAGCAGATGCTGCCAATCTGCATTCAGGCAGCATCACTTACTACAGCTCCTCTTACATCCTCCTAAAATTCTCAAAGTTTGAGTTACCTTCACAGCTGTGTTTCATGATCCTAAAGTATGTGAAATTAAAACGCAACTCCATATGACTATAATCGATTTCTTAAATATGCAACTGCTTATGTAACTTTCCTGCTTGGAATTTAAATGGAACTTACAATAGGAGGCTCAAGACTGCAATCTAATCCAAGGACAGAAGTGCGTGTTCTAGACAGATAGTCTCCCTGCTGCTCAACTCCTGTCAAACAGCAAATAAATAGGGCTTCCTCATTTCTCCAGCCTAGCCCCATAAAAATGGATGCCCACATTTGTGGGCAAGACTCGAATTAGGAGTACAGCTTAATGATAAGGGGTCACCCATTCAAAACTGATGCAGGGACAAATTCGGTATCTCAACAAGGCAGAGTGGAGACATTGGTCAGGACTGTGGAATTCAGGCCACAATCAGGCCAGCCATGGTCTTACCTGAATTTCAGAATATGCTCAAGGGGGTTGAATGGCTTACCCCTACTCCTAATTCATTGATTCACCTGTTTTACTTTAATGAAGTAACTCAAAAACGTGATGAGTTCTGCAGTGAGGAAGAATCTTTACCAAATTAACATCAGTTACTCTACATCTCACCACATTTGGCTACTAGCTACTACCAAATATATTGTGATACCAGTGACTCACCAAGGTTTTCAAACAGCACTTTCTAAATCGGTGAACTGTACCATCTAAAAAAAGAGGACAATAGCAGCAGACCCATTGAAACACCACAATCCCTGAGCTGCCGCCAAGCCACAAGACTTGTCCTGTTGCTTCCTGGAACACCTGCCTTAACAACACTGTGGCTATGCCTGCACCATGCAGACTGCATGGGTTCAAGACAGCAGCTCACCACCACCATCTTTTAAGGGTCAGCTCAAGACAGACAACAAATGCTAACCTAACTGGCAACATTCACTTCACAGAAACACAAAAATTCCTATTGTTGAGATTAACAGTAATCAAACCACAACACAGTGATAGTATCACAGCACACATACATCCTGGACCACAGCCTGCGTAGGTTCAGCAAGGGGACAGTGAACAGTCACACAACACTGCACTCCTAGGACTGGAGTAAAAAGCCACAGGTCATGGGGTGAGAACAAGTTATTCAAACCACATGTTCTAAAAAACAGAAGTTAAATTTAGGCCCCATGAGCTTCAATCTTATCAACAATAACTTACATTTACTGACCAGGTTTAACATCGTGAAATGTACAAAGGTGCTATGCAGGAAGGCTATATATATCAAAATTAGACAGTCACATATGTGAAGCTGATGGCAGGATGGTAAGCTCGCTGGGCTAGCAATCCAGTGGTATACGCTAATGCTCTGGAGACATGGGTCAAAATTCCACCATGGCAGCTACTAGAATTTCAATTCAACCCATAAGATCCAGAGTTAAAAGCTAGCCATAGCAATGGCAACCATAAAATGATCATTGTTTGTTGTTCATAAGACCTTCAGGAGATGGAAATCTGTCATCCTTGCCTGGTCTGGCCTATGTGTTACTCCAGACCCACAGCAACGTGGTTGACTCTTAACTGGCCTCCGAAATCACTTCAGAAAGTAGCCTGGCCATCGTCTACAACACAAAAGTCAGGAGAGTGGTAGAATACTCCGTTTGCCTGGATGAGTGCAGCTCCAACAACATAAGGAAGCTCCACACCATCCAGAACAAAGCAGCTGGCCTGATTTCTATCACATCCACTTACATTCACTCTCTCCATCGTCAATGCTCAGTAGCAGCTGTGTACACCATCTATGAGATGCAATGCAAAAATTCACTAATGTTCCTTGGACAGCACCTTCCAAATCCACAGCCTCTCCCATTCAGAAGGAGAAGGGCAACAGATACTTTGGAACACCATCAACAAGTTCCCTTCCAAGCCACACTCCATTCAAACTCGGAAACACATCGCTGTTTCTTCTTTGCTGGGTCAAAATCCCTCCCTAACAACATGGAGAGTGGAATGTTGCCGTTCAAAACGGCAATACACGACCTTATTCTCAAAGGCAAGTAGGTATTGGCAATAAATTGTGGCCCAGCCGAAGATGTCCACATTCCAATAAATTGGGAAAGAAAATCATAGCATCACAGAGTTCTGACGGCGCCAAGCGAGGCCCTTGAGGCCATTCTGCCACATTTATAATCTGCCCCTCACTGCCCTTGAACTGGTTAGGTCATTTCAGAGAAATCACACGCCAAGTAGTGGTGATGCTGGGGATCTGAAATAAAAACAAAGTACTGGAGAAACCCAGTGAGGTCTCGGTCTCAGTCTCAGAATTCGAAACGTTTCTCCGTTTACAGATGCTTTCAGACCTGCTGAGTTTCTCGGGCACTTCCTGTTTTCCGTTTCGGATCTCGGGCAAATCCACACTAATTTGGCTTTTATTTTCTCCGAGATGACCTAGCCAGTTCAAGGGCAGTTAGGAATAAGTAACAAATGTTGGCTTTAAAGTAACATTCCACATCCCATGAACGGACGGATCATCAGTCCTGCATTTGAAGTGCGGAATTCAATAGAGAGAGATACACAGACAGACCCTGGCTGAGGCGAAAGGAGAGATGCCCACTTCTCACGGTGGCACTTACCTTGTGCATTTTTGCCACACAGGAGGTGCAGATAGGGTTGGCAGATACCCCAGAACTCCGGGTCGTTGTTGACAGTTTGCTCGATCACTTCCACGTTGATTTTCGAGCTGGCCTCCCCGCTCTGCAGGATCCGCAGCATCAGCTCCTTCAGCAGACTCTCCATGGCAGCCGTCAGGTAGATAGCGGCGTGCGGATGGACCCGCGGGGCCAGTCCGCTCTCCACCATCCACCTGAAGAAGCTACCTACAGATAGGGTGAGGCCACACCTGACCGACTTGCCCTGGCTGAAGCCGCGGCAGCAGCTCATGTTGTAGAGGGAGAGGGCTGACAGTCCGGCCTCCACGCAGCCCCGGGCCAGTGGCCAGGACAGCACCGCCCGCAGGGCGCTCTGCACTTCGGCCCGGCCGCACCGGGCGTACCGCAGGCTCAGCCGCTGCGCCTCCCTCGAGACCCGCAGGAGCGGCCGGCTTATCAGCCAGGAGAGGCGGCGCAGCGCGTCCCGCGGACACTCAGCCGGCGGCTGCTGCTGCTGTACCGAGCCCAGCACCGCCACCAGCTGCGGCAGAACCCAAGGCAGCTCCTCGGGCTCGGGCAGCCGGCACTCCAGCATGTCGGCCTCCTCGGCCAGAGTCCCGCTCACCGAGCCACAGCTACTGCTGCCACCGCCGGTCCCCACGCCGCGGGGCTCCGCTCCATGAGTGGCCGGGGAACAGCACAGCGAGAGGCTGGTGGAGGAAGAGCGTACCGAGTCGGCAGCGCCCCCGTAACCAGAATCCCGGCTCGCGTCCTCCAGTGTCCGACCCCAAGGTTTAGCCCGCCCGCCCATGTCCACGCTGCATATTCCAGGTGAGCAGCGGCCGGACGCCAGTTATACTGCCTCCTGGCCGTCCCACCGCCAGCGCCTCGGCGGAGCTTCCCTCGGGCTCCAGCTGATCATCGGCAATCCCACCCCCTGACTGCCCGCCCATCCATCCATCAGCGTGTTAACTCCGCCCACTTCGGCAAATAAAAGCCGCACCTCCCGCCTTCTGATTGGTAGCTCTGCCGTGGGGTACGCCCCCTCTCTCCGCCCCATATGCAAATCATCAGCCACACCCACTTTCCAATTGGTTGTCACCCGCCAGCCAATGAGAGTGTTCTTGTGGCTTACAGCCGCATCCCGTCCCCCACCAAAACAGCTGGAAAGTTGTTAAAGGGAACAAGTTTTCCCGATCCTCTGGTTCATGTTGTACAAGGGGCAGACAGTGAGATATTTTCGATCGTAGATATTATAACACAAGAACTAGGAGCAGGAGTAGGCCGTCTGGCCCTTCGAGCCTGCTCCGCCATTCAATAAGATCGGAGCTGATCTTTTCGTGGACTCAGATCCACTTACCCGCGTTCTCACCATATCCGTTAATTCCTTTATTGTTCAAAAAAAATCTACCTTTTCTTTAAAAACGTTCACTGAAGTAGCGTCAACTACTTCACTGGGCAAGGAATTCCATAGATTAACAACCCTCTGGGTGAAGAAATTCCTTCTCACTTCAGTCCTAAATCTGCTCCCTCTAATCTTGAGGCTATGCCCTCTTGTCCTAGCTTCACATGCCAGTGGAAACATCCTCTCTACTTCTATCTTATCTATTCCCTTCATAATTTTATATGTTTCTATAAGATCCCCCCTCAATCTTCTGAATTCCAATGAATATAATCCCAATCTACTCAGTCTCTCCTCATAAGCCAATGCCCTCAACTCCGGAATCAACCTAGTGAACCTCCTTTGCACCCCCTCCAGTGCCAATACATCATTTCTCAAGTAAGGAGACCAAAACTGCACACAGTACTCCAGGTGTGGCCTCACCAGCACCTTGTACAGCTGCAACATAACCTCTCTGCTTTTAATTTCAATCCCTTTAGCAATGAAGGACAAAATTCCATTTGCCTTCCTAATTACTTGTTGTACCTGCAGACCTACCTTCTGTGATTCATGCACAAGGACACCCAGGTCTCTCTGCATAGCAGCATGCTGCAACTTTTTATCATTCAAGTAATAATCCTTTTTACTGTTACTCCTACCAAAATGTATGACTTCACATTTATTTACATTGTATTCCATCTGCCAGACCTTTGCCCACTCACTCAATGTATCTATGTTCCTCTGCAAAGTTTCACAGTCCTCTGCACACTTTGCTTTGCCACTCATCTTAGTGTCATCTGCAAACTTTGACACCCTACACGTGGTCCCCAACTCCAAATCATCTATATAAATTGTAAATAATTGCGGTCCCAACACCGATCCCTGAGGCACACCACTAGTCACTGACTGCCAGCTGGAATAGCACTCATTTATCCCCACTCTTTGCTTCCTGTTAGTCAACCAATCCTCTATTCATGCTAATACTTTACCCTTAATGCCATGCATCCTTATCTTATGCAGTAGCCTCTTGTGCGGCACCTTGTCGAAGGCCTTTTGGAAATCTAGGTGCACCACATCCACTGGGACTCCATTGTCCACCTTGCTCGTAATGTCTTCATAGAATTCCAAAAGATTTGTCAAGCATGACCTGCCCTTCATGAACCCATGCTGCGTCTGTCCAACGGGACAATTTCTATCAAGATGCCTTGCTATTTCTTCCTTGATAATAGACTCAAGCATCTTCCCCACTACAGAGGTTAAGCTAACCGATCTATAATTCCCCATCTTTTGTCGACTTCCCTTTTTAAACAGTGGCGTCACATTTGCTGTTTTCCAATCTGCTGGGACTGCCCCAGAGTCCAGCGAATTTTGGAAAATTACCGCCAGCGCACCTGCTATTTCTCCCGCCGTCTCTTTTAGTACCCTGGGATGCATTCCATCAGGGTCAGGAGACTTATCAATCCTTAGCTCCATTAGCTTGCCCAACACTACCTCTTCTGTAATAATGATTGTTTCCAGGTCCTCACCTATCTTCGTCTCTTTGTCAATTACTGGCATGTTATTAATGTCCTCCACTGTGAAGACCGATACAAAATACCTGTTCAATGCCTCGGCCATTTCATCATATCCCATAACTAAATTCCCCTTCTCATCCTCTAAAGGGCCAACGTTTACTTTAGCCACTCTTTTTCATTTTATATATTTATAGAAACTTTTCCTATCTGTCTTTATATTCTGTGCTAGTTTTTTCTCATGTTCTTTCTTACTTTTCTTTATAGCTCTTTTTGTGGCTTTCTGTTGACCTTTAAAGTTTTCCCAATCTTCTAGTTTCATGCTGTTTTTGGCCACTTTGTATGCCTTCTCTTTCAATTTGATAGCCTCCCTTATTTCTTTAGACACCCATGGCAGATTACCCCTTTTCTTACAGTCCTTCCTTTTCATTGGAATGTACTTTTGCTGAGCACTTTGAAAGATTGCTTTGAAAGTCCTCCACTGCTCGTCAACTGTCCCACCATAAAATCTTTGTTTCCAGTCTACTTTAGCCAAGTCCTCCCTCATTCTATTGTAGTTCCCCTTGTTCAAGCACAGGACCCTGGTATTGGATTTTATCTTCACACTCTCCATCTGTATTCTAAATTCAACCATACTGTGATCACTCCTTCCAAGAGGATCCCTAACTATGAGGTCGTTAATTATTCCTGTCTCATTACACAGGACCAGATCTAGGATAGCTTGCTCCCTCATTGGTTCCATTACATACTGTTCAAGAAAACTATCATGGATACACTCAGCGAACTCCTCCTCAAGGCTACCCTGACCGAGCTGGTTCGACCAATCTACATGTAGATTAAAATCCCCCATGATAATTGCCGTACCATTTTTACAGGCATTCGTTATTTCTTTGTTTATTGCCCGCCCCAATGTGACGTTATTATTTGGTGACCTATAGACTACACCTATCAGTGACTTTTTCCTCTTAGAATTTCTAATTTCCACTCAAATGGATTCAACCTCATTCTCCATAGAACCTATACTATCTCTCAGCACTGCCCTGATGGCATCCTTGAATATCAGAGCTACACCACCTCCCTTACCTTCCTGTCTGTCCTTCCGAATAGTCTGGTACCCTTGGATATTTAACTCCCAGTCGTGACCATCCTGTAACCATGTCTCCGTAATGGCTACCAAATCATATTCATTCGCGATGAACTCATCAATCTTGTTACGAATGCTACGAGCATTCAGGTAAAGTGCCTTTATGCTAGCTTTCTTACCCTCATGATTTCCAACATCTCTAATAATATCTCCTGAGTTATCCTTCCTTTTTGCTTCTTTCATATTCTGCCTTGAACTTAAACCCTCCTGCACACATGCTAACCTGCTGCTTACCTTTTTATTTACCATCATACTCCCTGTCGTTTTCCCTTTCCCTTCCCCCCAACTCACTAGTTTAAAGTCCTAGTGACCATCCTATTTATCCTTTTCACAAGAACACTGGTTCCAGATCAGTTCAGGTGGAGACCGTCCCATCGGTACAGATCCCTCCGGTTCCAAAACTGATGCCAATGCCCCATGAAATGGAACCCCTCTTTTCCACACCACTCCCTTAGCCACTTGTTTACTTCCCTAATTTTCTTATCCCTAAGCCAATATGCACGTGGCTCGGGCAGTAATCCGGAGATTATGACCCTTGAGGACCTGTTCCTTAATTTTGTTCCTCGTTCTTGATAATCCCCAAACAGGTCCTCCATCCTAGCCTTGCCTATGTTGTTAGTCCCAACGTGGAGCACAACAACTGGATCCTCCCCCTCCCGCTCCAATATCCTTTCAAGCCGGTCAGAGATGTCCTGCACCCTGGCACCGGGCAGGCAACACACCATGCGGGACTCCCGATCCGGCTTGCAAAGGATACTATCTATCCCCCTAACTATAGAATCCCCTATAACTACCACTTGTCTTTTTGCTCCCCCCTCTTGAATGGCCTTCTGCACCATGATGCCGTGGTGAGCTGGCTCATCCTCCCCGCAGCCCTTTTCCTCATCCACACAGGGAGCAAGTATCTCGTACCTGTTGGATAAGGTCAAAAGCTGAGGCTCCTCCACTCCTGAACTCAGGATCTCCCTACCTGCCTCACTTGCAGTCACACCCTGTTGTCCCTGATCACTAACTGAATTTGAATTACTTAATCTACAAGGTGTGACTGCCTCCTGAAACAAAGCATCCAGGTAACTCTCCCCCTCCCGGATGTGCCTCAGTTTTTGAAGATCAGATTCCAGATCTTCAACTCTGAGCCGGAGTTCTTCCAGCAACAAACACTTGCTGCAGATGTGGTCACTGCCGTTCACAATGGGATCAGCCAGCTCCCACATCATACAGCTACAGCACATCACCTGCCCAGCCATCTCCACTTAGTTAATTACTTTATATCAACTAATGAGTTAAATACTTTCTAATACTTCTCTGCTATGGTCCTTTCAAATAACCAATTAATAGATAAATAAAAAAAGAAAGTAAATTTTTAACCAATTACACAATACAGAAGAAATAGAAAAAGTATAAAAACCTTACCTTACCAACACACCACAGACTCCTTCTTTTTTGGTTAGAGAAGGAGGGCGGGTGGGAGACACTACACGTTTAGTGTCTCACCTCTTTTACAGATGCACCATTGAAAGCATTGTATCCGGATGCATAACGGCTCGGAGATTGCAAGAGCTGCAGATGCTGGAGTCAGAGTCAATACCTGTGGAGCTGGACGAACACAGCAGGTCAGCAGCATCACAGGAGCAGCAAATGTCGACGTTTCAGGTCGGGACCCTTCATCAGGATTGATCCATCCTGATGAAGGTTGTAAACCAAAACTTTGACTTTCCTGCTCCGCTGGACCAGCTCTGCCCAGGATCATAAGAAATTATAGGAAGTTGTGGGCACAGCCCAGACCATCACAGAAGCCAACCTTACATCCATGGACTCCATCTACACTACACGTTGCTGCGGAAAAGCTGCCAACATCATCAAAGAACCCTCCCACCTCAATAATGCATTCT